TACAGTATGCCCAATGCTGTCTTTGGAAATATTACACGGTGAAGACCCCATCTCTTCCACAGTGTGACTCTCGTTCCATTGCCCGAAGACCGAGAAAAAGTTTTTTTTTTTTTAAAAACAGCGGTAACTCGTAAACGATCTTAATCAGTTTGAGATCCTTGGCTTTATACCAAAAATAAAGATACAATGACCAAACTTCCCATGAAAAGTTGAGTTTAATCAAGAACCAACATCACAGCACTCAGGGCATTCCCAAAAGTGGTCTGACCCCCATCTTCAGTCCCCATGAAAACAAATACTGTTACTGGCATATTATACACTGATGGGCGTCATATTAAACAATTAAAAAAAAATAATACCATAACACATAAACACAAAAGAAAATAGATGAAACTTTAACCTCACTTTATCTTGCTGAGAAGAGCTGAGCACCCACTGTGGTGCTGAGATGGGGGAAAGAGGAAATGTTATTGTCTGGAAGGAAAGTCCATTCCAATAAAACTTCTGAAATCTGAAATTCTGGGTTCATCTGTTTCTATTTTGTCTCTCTCTCTCTTCAGTCTCTCTTCACTACCTGGACATATTTGAGGCACATGTTCTACCATGTGAGGTGGTGAATTGATGTATGACAAGTTAGATATTGTAAGGGCGCTTTGGGAACGAGTGAACAGTGCGGAGATGCCGATAGATAATTGTGTCAATCTTTCCACAAGGGACTGTGATAAACATTCTGTGTGTTTTTCCTTGGCACAGGAGCGGAGCAACGATGGGGTGACCCGTTTGCTATGAAGCTGAAACTAAGACTACCAGTTGGATAATTACGGTTTGAGGAGAATGGCGCTGCGAGGAGTTACCAGGGGATCTGGCCGATGCTCAAAACTCAGGGAAAGGATAAGACAGATATACAATCAGATGGTTACTGGTGCCAGAGGAACTGGAACTTTTCGCTTGCTGCTGAAGATGGGGACGGAGCACTTATGGTGGTTTACCGAGTGTTGTGATGTAAATTCTTAATTCAGCATTCCATGTGAGTCATATACCAAACAAAGATCGTATACCAAGCAAATCCTTTTAATACTGAACAGGACGTACACCAAGTTGGACTTATAAGAAAACGGACGTATACCGAGGTACCACCGTATACCATCCACTGAAGAAACCGAACATTTATATTTGAGAATTGGTAAACGCATGTAGTAACCTCTAAGCAACATGATAAGCATTAAGAAATATGTACTAAACATTAATCATCATAAAATACATTAATGTTAACAATATAAACAACCATGTAAGTACTGGGATAATCAGCATCCATACTGTCCAAATTCTGCTTAGGCAGACTGAGACCTTACAGACTTGTCCCAAGGGAGCATAAGTCGAATATTAAATTATAATTATGTAAACATTTAAACATTCACCCTTGACAATCAAGTTTATTTTTTGAGTTTTTTTTTCTGTTAAGTATCACTTTTACTGTTATGGGGATATCTGCATAAGTACTCTGGTCTCCTCCTGAGGTTAGCCTTTACTTCCCACGATTTGTATCTGGTACCCATTTAAGGCTGGGCTGACCTGGCAGCGAAGGTCATTTAAAAAAAAAAAGTCCAGCACCGTCTGAATTTCAAACCATGACCTTCTGACCCGCAGCTGAGCATCTAGCCACTACACCACGGTAGCTCCCTGTGCTAGACGTATATTTTTTATACAATATATATATTTTTTTGGCAATAAATATAATATATCAAAGAGCTGATAGGTTGGCTGGATTTACTATCACTACCGACGGTCAACCTTTGGATCACCCTGATATTATTAATGCCCTCAGAGAAATGGGAAGGGTGGAGGGTGAATCCACATCACTCGGCAGAATGATAGACTTTGGAGTTGAGCAAAAAAACGATACCCACACCAGGCACATCAGAGGATTTGTTGATCAACACAGAACTAGTACTATTAGCCACTGGACGCTGGGGTTCATTCTGAGCACCCATGGACGTGTCCAGAATGTAATGATGATAACCCAACTAACTAGAAAATATCAAACTAACATCCATTAGCAAGAATCACAGCAGTCTGAAACAGTTTGGTATGTGAGGTTTAAACTGATGCTATCCCCCTCTGGAACTGCTACACGAAGGTTTCACACCACACTGAAGAGCGACTTTTAGGATGTCACAGTATCTGAACAAATCCAAGATACCCTGTATCATCTAATCAAATGGTGCTAGGGAGCTCGTGCACTGTGCTGACATTCTTCGGACTCAGGCTTGAGTTAGAAGTAGAACTGAGCAATAATGGGTTACCACCCTTGTGCCATGATGTTGATCCGTTGTATCAAATGGATATAACTGGGAATACTACAGCTATAAAACAAATGTAATACCATGATGGAGACTGCAGTGCTCGCTAGGTGACATTGAATGTTATACAATCCATTTATGAGAAAATCCTGTGCTGAACTGTACACATACAACTGTACTCAACCAGTCTCAATTCCCAAGGCCTCTAGTTAAAGAGAGCTATACAATTTTCTTCTGAACAAAGATAAACACAATTAAGTAGATCCCTGCATCGAGAAAAACTATGTCGGCACTGAGTGCTGATGCTTCTCTTATGATAGCCTATATCTATGATCCATGACTCAGTCCCAGAGTGATCTGCCTTGATGACAACAACGGTCATCAACCGTGTCATGAAGTGTACACATTCAACCGTACTCAGCTAACTTCACGTCTCAAGGTCTCTAGTTATACACAGCAAAACCTCATTAACATAAACTCGCTTAAGATGAACACTCAGTTACAGAGTGATCTCTTCTTCTTCGCGTTCACCAACTGTAAACTCTGGCGGAAAGTTCTGGCTGTTCATCCACTTTTGGACTTCAGTCCTGTTCCAGAACCGGAGTGTTAAGCGTGCATCCGTTTTACAGATCTGACTCATTTGTATGCAGACTGCTTGTTCCTTGCCTCTCAGGCAGAAGCACTGACTTCAAAGAAAGCTGCCAGTTAGTCGACTCTTACAACATGCTTTTGAGTAGGCAGTGGGTCTATCCCCCCCCCCCCCCCCCCCCCCTTATAATAGGGCACAGAACCCACAGGGGAAACAGAGTGATCTGACTTGAGGACAATAATCATAACCATGTGTTGAAGTTTATACATTCAACTGTACTTAGCTAGCTTCACGTCTCAAGGTCTCTTAGTTATTTACAGTTAAACCTCATTAACACAGACTCACCTAACACTTTCAGTCCCAAGGAACGCATTATGCAATCATAGAAGCCCAATGAACGCAAGCTGATTTTATGCCTCTCTTTACCACCCCTTGGGCCTCTGATGCTAAACCCCCTGGGACTGAAAGAGCTAAGATGAACACTCAGTTAACACGCACAATATTTTGGCCCCAGCAGGGATGTACTATTCATAATACATCTACCAGTCCCCGGTTAACACACCTTTTTTATTCAACAAGGACTCTTGATATTTCAGTCCCCTCAGAATTTGTGTTAACGAGGCTTTCCTGCAGTTAATTATGACATTTCCTTCTGAGTGAAAGATAAATACAACTGAGTAGATCCTGGCTCCATGAAATACTATACTCAGTCTATACTGAGTTTCTGTTATGATACCCAATCTCTATGGCATGGCTATGGGTTGATTTGATTTGATAAGAAGTCCCTAGGGTATCTTCATGTAAAAACTTGAAGCTGCCTCGAAGAATGATAAATAACAGCCCTGCCTGTATACCTGTACTGTACTCTTTCTCAGAAAATTTTTCAGCCATAATGTAACTTTTCCTCCGCGACAAATTTTTTGGATAACATCAAGAACATAGTTCCCCGAGTGGTTAGAATGCTAGACTCTCATGCAGGATACTGGGGTTCTATCTTTGGTCAGGTGACGGATGTTTTTTTTTTTTCTGTCAAGGGCAACAATTAAACAGCTCATGTTGATGGCACTAGCTACACGGCCTAAATCCAAAGGAACCCCATCCCCCCATGGTCCTATAATACCACTGCCATTACTACCTGTATTTACCTCTTCTGGGGTGTGGGCAGAGGCCCTGAGGATCTAGGGCCGCATGGCTAGTGCTGTCGCCACGGACTGTGCTGGTCAGGATTTTATTGTGCCCCGACAGAAAAAAAAAAATCCACCACCTTAACGAGGATTCGAACCTGGGTCTCTGGCATGAGAGCCCAGCTTTCTTAACCGTTCGGTCATCCGCTCCTCACCCTGTCCTAAACCGCCTTAAAAAGGTGGTAATATAGGTAATAACAACACACAGTCTTGGATGCTAGGTTGATAATGATTCATCTACAAGCAGGGGTTATCTATCCTTCAGAACTGGTCATTTCCTCTTTGACAACTGTCATCATGCTAGCCTATGCAACTTTAACCAATTCAAATAATAATGAAATATGTCATGTATATTTCTAGGACACTCTGACCCTACATCTTCAGGCACACAAACAAAGAAACACAATGTTGCTCCAACAGTATTCGGCTACGCCTTGGCAAGTCTTGTGCCTACTTGCTTTCATACTGACGACTGCCTTTATGTTTGAGAGCAAAGAAACTCCTAGAAATAAATTATTATAAATGCTTGGTACCACACACACTGGCTGTGTTCGGCTAAGCATTTACTATGACTGCCATCATGTCTGAAATCAACATGTTCCTCACAAGTTTATTCTAGATCCAGGGTACACACAAAAATCCCTTTTGTATTAAACTGGGCTGTGACAGGTTTGTGCCTCCCTGCATTCACATCCATGACTGTCTAGTTTACTTGAAAACAAGAAATTCCACACAATAGTTTAATCCAGATACCTGGAATTATGCCAACTCTGCAACTACATTATTCTGATCACACAACGATCACCTTTTCTAGAAACTGACATTTGAAAAATGCAGGTTCTCCTGCATCAGATCAGCAGAGTTTTACAAATGAATAGTTGTGATTTCTTTACGAAGCACTGCTTGCTGTGGGTATGTTTCTGAGATCTACTTTTTGTGTGAGACTTCCTGAGAGCCCCTCATGAGCCTGTACCTCAAGCGCAGGTTACGTGCCCGCACATGACTGTTGTTGATTTCTTCTGTGTGAGATGCAGGAAACCAGCCTTTTGCTCCGTCTCGGATTCTTTCACCCTCGTACCAACCTGCAGAAATGAAGGCACCCAGGTAATTTACTGAAGTAAATGAGAAAATATAGGACTAAATATAGGCATTATAGGCAAAATGGAACATGTGGTGACCACTGGAAAGATCTGTGGCAGGAGGGATAGAGAAAGACAACAAGAGAAGATTCTTGACAGTCTTGTTGCATGGCATGGAGGTGTGTCAGCACACAAACTAATACATATTGCAGGAGATCGCAGATTGTGGAGAGGCATGATCGTCCACGCCAGTCTGCAAGGCACCTATTGATGATGATAATGATAAGCATTTGGCTTACAATAGAGAGAAATTTGCAAGGCTTCTTTCTGGATGAAAAGAAGTCACTGAAATGTAATATCTAAGAAGAATATTAACTCTCTGGCCCCTAAATGCACCTAATCCTGCATCACATTCCTGAGTCCCTGATAAGCCTATTTAATGACACTAGTTCTGTTTGCACCTGCACATCGGTTAGGAGGACAAGGGTATAATTATATTTACTAAAAAAAAAAAAAAAGCTTCGGGGAAAGGGGGGGGGGGGGGGGGGGGTGGTGGGAATTTTTTTTTTTAAAGTCATGACGTCATAATTCCCCCTTAGTCACTGAGTCATGGAGTCACAGTATGGGTCATCATATGAAATATTTTATTTTTAAGCCAAAGAGACTGAAGTCATTTAATTCTCTATTCTGTTTCATTTTGACTGATTATTACCTTCATTTATTTCTCATGCACACACATTTTGTTTGTAATGCATATAAATCATTTTGAGAATACAGCACTGAAGAACACCACAACAACAGAAAAGATCAGTGGTAGAAGAGCCAGAGGCAGACTAAGGAAAAGAAATGCTAGATGGGAAGTGGAGAGGAGTGAACACCAACACAAACAGGGAGCTCTGGAACCCACATGGGGAGTGGAGACTGACTGACTTTCTACCCCACCAGGACATCACACAAGCGATAAACACCCGATGACACAAAGTGCCACTATGTGGATGAGGATCGCCGCGGAGAGGTCCCAGAAACCGTGTTCAGACAATTGGCCATATTTATGGTCTCCCTATATTGCGACCCCTGGCAAAAGCCAGGGTGGGGCTTCAAATTAAAAAAAAATTTCATCCTTAAAAGGACGAAACTGGATTAAGGGGAGTGAAGAAGAGGTGTGAACACCAACACAAACATGGAGCTCTAGAACATACATGGGGAGTTGAGAGGCGTGAACGTCAACACAATCTGGTAAGGCACACCACGATGATGATGAAAAATATAAAAATGATTATAGCTACCATCAGTCATCTTTCGTGTGACATTGATAACATCCGATTCTTCGAGTGTCAGTTCATCTGGCTGTTGGGCAATGTACTTCCTCACACAGTGGAACTGGGGGCAGTCTGTGGATCAGAATTAAGTTTATTTTTGAATAATAAAGCATATTTCATGGGGGAAAAAAAGCAATCAAATACAGAGATCCTTAAGAGAGTGAATGAAAACAGAGCTGCTTAAGGAAATAAAAACAGACAGATGACTTATTTCAGTCATAATAACAGATGACGACTGGACCCGCTTAAGTCCCCACATAAACTCTCACATACATATCCATTACATGACTAACCCGTTCATATTACAGGAAGACAACTATAAGACCACTATGGTCACACTCGGAACATTTTAACATTTCAGAACTATTCAAATTCAAAAACTGTTTTCAGTACTTTTTGGCATTATTTAAATACTCAAAATTTTAAAACAATAAATGGTGGTCCAAAGGAAGTTGTGTATGGAAGCTCGCTCTCCTTCAAGATACACCTAGCCAGATCAAAGGGAGACAGAACAAACAGGAAACACCAAGAAAGAAGAAGGAAGACATGCACCAGTGACAACAGGACGAGCGGTTTGATTCGGATGGAAGCATCAAGCCCAGAAATGGCACAAACACTAAAATTCAGTCACGAAAGTGACGCAAATAACCCAGACCACAAATATAGGCGGAGACTGCTAGTAGCCTAGGCTAGCTAGCAGCAGTCTGAACGTGGTCGAGCTTTTCTTTTGTTTTTTCTCAGAAGGACTTGGACTCGAACTTATTTCAGCCATGTTAAAAGGCGTTCCCAGTGTGGGTCCCACGGTCTCTTTCTGGGGGGGGGGGGGATAGGAACAGACTCACTGCCTCCCTGACAAGACTAATTAGGAGAGATTACACAGTCAGAGTGCATCTGCCTGAGAGGTGAGAAACCAGCAATCTGCATACAAAAAAAAAAACCAGATCTGTAAAATGGATGTGCATGCAAAACTCAAATTCTGGAATAAGATCAAAGTCTAGAAATAGATAAACAACCAGAACTTTTTGCTGGAGTATAGCTGGTAAACACAAAGAAGAAGAAGAAGAAGAAGAAGAGGAAGAAGAAGAATGTCTATTGAAAACATTATTTAAGAGAAAATGCTGAAGGCAAGAGAAGAGGTAGCATACTGTGATACAAGTTGGGGGATATCAAGTCATGCAGTTGAACAGAGAGCATATTCAAGGCGAAAGACAAAATGTGTTAGAGATCCATTGCACACAACCCTTCGCTGTGAAGGCAGCACATGATTGGTTGATTCTTCATTATTTAGTTGGCTTACACTTACATACACTTATCCTATGGATATTTTCTCCAGGCGATGCCGGTGTGTTGGGAAATGAGCAGGCAGATGGACTGGCCGGTTCTGCACCAGTTAGTGGTGAATTGATGTATGACAAGCTAGACGTTGTGAGGGCCCTCTGGGAGCAAGTGAACGGTGCAAAGGCACAAACAGATCATTACGGTCTGAGGAGAATGGCATTGCGAGGAGTTACAAGGGGATCTGATCAACGCTCAAGACTCAAGGGAAGGGCAAGACGGATATACAATCTAACAGTTACTGGTACCATCTGATTTAAAACTCTTGGCTTGCTGCTGAAGATGGGGACGGAGTTCTTATGGGGGTGTCTCAAATGCTGTGATGTCGATTTTTAATTCAACATTCAACACTTATAAGATTTTAGACAAAAATGGCGTAAAGTCAAGAGGATCAAAGTCATCTCATCAAGTTTTATCCCATATAGTTTAGCCTCTTTCAGGAGAATGGCTAGCTATAGGCCAATAGCATCACATAAATGACCAGCTCTGCAGCTGCAATCCTCAGGCAACTCCGTAAAAAAAACTGCACTGCATAATCTGAGTACCAGAGATATGGAAAAGTAACAACATTGACCATATGCCTCACATACGCTGCAAGGCAATGGAAAATATGGATCAAATACCACATATCCAGCACACCTGATTGAACATACTATGAGGTTTAATTAAAACTGGATATGCCTTGTGTGGGTTCCTGGACTCCAATCACGGGGTGGGGTGGGTGTATAGACCCACCCCTAACAAGCATGTGACATCATGACGCAGATGAATATGAAGTTTCCAAATGGTGTGACTTCTGTGACAGACTGTTCACAATCGGGCTCAGGCACCTTGAGAAGTGACCCGTGAGTCAACTGCACACCCTTCTGAAACTCACTACTTCACTCGTACATCTGTTGGACCGACAAACATGCATCATCATACCGGACCTTCATTCGCCGACGAATTTCTATAGATTTTAACCCTTCACCGATAAAGATAACAGAATGCTGCTCCTCTTTAGCGCATGTCAAAAGTGGGGTGGCCATCTTTAAACTGTCATTATGACATCACAGTGTCCACATACACTGTCATTTCACATGCTTAACACTCTTGACATCCTTAACAACAATTCTGACAGATTACAACACAATGGCATGGTTACTACAATTCATAGAACCCTTTAAGGTTTTACATATCTCTATTATTAAACAATGTATTTATTTCATCTACAGGAGTTGCCGTGATGCAGTGGCTAAACACTCGCGTACGGATCGGAAGGTCATGGGTTCGTTCCCTGGCGGAGCCCGACTTAAAAAAAAAAATGAACTTGACTCCCAGGTTGACCCAGCCTTGAGTGGGTACCGGGTGCAGTCCCGGGAAGTATAGGTGGCCGCATGATGCTGACCACGTTACCCATCTTGTGCCGACTGGTTTATAAAAATATAGGTCTAGCCCTATATGCCCTATCCGCCCAAAGGTGTGGCAAAAGAACCTTTACTTTACATTATCTCATCTATCTCTGTACATTCTATTTTCTGTGAAGAAAAATCTTCCAAAATATGTTCAGTTTATGATTCCACTTTTCTAAAACCTGCCTGCTCTTGCTTTACTTGATTATCAAGTGCTTGAGCCATTCTCTTAAGAGCAATCCAACTGAAGAGTCTAATCTCAACTAAATGTCTTTCATCAAAACTTCAACAATCCAGTGATCCAGCTAATGATTACGGCGGCTAAAGTACATTTATAAAGACACGGATAATAATTTTTTTTCAAAGTTAATTTCTTTTTCTTCCTACTCACTCTGGTGGAAAGTTATGGTTGTTCGTCCACTTCTGGACTTAGTCTTGTTTCGGAACATGACTTTTGCTTGCACATCCATTTTACAGATCTGGCTTATTTGTATGCAGGCTGTTGGTTGCTTGCCTCTCATGCAGATGCAGTGTGACTGCGAAGGCAACCCCTAATTGGTCCACTATTATGACATGCTTGTTAGGGAGGCAGTGGGTCTAGTAAGTAAAAATAGCATGCAGGATGGTGACCTCATTACACAAACAAGGGTCGAGGGTCATCTATTCAAATGAGGGCCTAGCAAAAAAAAGGATTGTGAAAATGACATGAAAAGGGTCAGTTACATTTTTCTTCATGTAAAATACAAGAATTTAAAGACCAAAAAAAAAAAAAAAACCTTAATATTACCCTTAAAAAAAACACACACCAGTATTTAAAACGAAAAATATTTTGGTCATATCAAGTGTCAAAGCAGATTGTACAAAAATAATAGCAGAAGGCATGGTACCAGGAAGGATGGGCAAGGGTCGACTAACACGAAGATGGGCACAGGGTATAAGTGACTCCTTGAAAATGAAAAATAAAAAGTACATGAGACGGGAGAGCTGGCGAGACCGAGTTTCTTTCAGGCAGACTGTGATCAGAGCGATGTTCTGCAAAGTACCTGCTACATGATGATGATGATTTAAAATGAAACACAGTCACATCTAGAACTCCGGTACAATAATAGTAACGTATGTCATTGAACACCACCTTGGGTTTTCGTCTATCACAGACTTTCAAGGAATAAGACTCAGCATGCTCACATGTATTAGGAATCAATTCTTTTGCCCTAGTGACCTAGAAATACAAACACAAAGCCAACGACCCATATTTTGGGAATTCCCTAAAAATCCTTCCATTTTTTTTGTTAAACTGGTCAAAACATCCTAACAATTCCATTTATGGAAAAAAAATATTTTTTTCCGCGACAGAATAATAGTAGTAACAAGTAGTCTCTTTGAGCCTTAGTTGCATATCCTTTACAGGACGTTTCAGAACCAACCCCAGCATTTTTTTTGGCTGCTGTGGTTTTTCTAGGCAAATTTACATCCAGTAGTTTGCCATTGCTTTCTGGACGGTTTGGCTTCTCGATACCACTGTCGAAACCAACGCAAAGCGCAAGGCCCGCAGCTTGGATCAAACCCGGCCCCCTGGCATTACAAAGCTCGTTCGCAACGCCTAAGCCACAGATGCCTTACATGCACCAAAGAAATATGTGAACCACTTATAACCCTGTAATCCAGTCACTAGGTTACCACAGTGACTAATGAGAAATTATGAAATTCTATTTTTAAAAAAAGCTATTTTCCCCCCATAAAACCTCTAACTAAATATAATGTTTAGCAAATGTGATAATTTCAAGTCAACCTGAATGCGGTCAACCTGAATGTTTGCGCAGGCTATTAGCTAGGTATCTCATCAACAGGGCACTACAGCAATGTCGATACAGTGACTGATGCTTATGGGAGATTGCATTCAACCAGAAATGTCGGGGTTTGTGGCTTCTCAGGGCAGCACTGTTAAGGGAAGGAAGGGTCACATCTGCAACACTCACTAGATCTAATTCCATGCTCACAGAAGTAAAACATTTAGTTTTAAAACCAGGCTCCCTTAGACATTAGATCTACACAAGAAACAACAAAAGCACAAAGAGGTTTAAAAAAAAAGCCCCTTCTTGTCAGTAGCGCATCAGACACACGACGCTAGACTCATGTTTCTAAAACCCTATCGGCCCTCAAAGGGTCTTCTTCTTCTTCTACTTTTCCCCTCCCACCTTGTACCTCAACAAAGTGGCGGGGGGAGATGTAACATTCGTTGATGAGCTCTGTCAAGAGCACTATTAAGACTGATATTCATTTCTGTAAGGCTGTTGTTAATGCCATCACTCCCTATTTTCCGAGGTCTTCCACTCGCTCAATATCCAT